CCTAGTCTTTGTTTCTGAGAAAGGGGAGGCCGTAAAATCACCCCCATAGATGGAAGCAATCGTTGCACAATATTCAGATTTTTCAAGGAGCCTAGCGGTGTGGTGGAAAGGGAGATTGTGGTGTGGTGGAAAGGGAGATTGTCCATGGAATAAAATTCGTTCCCGGTAGCAAAACACCTAGAGGACGAATCTAGAGGATGTCTTCTACGGAGGTTAGACGAGATCCGCCGCCAACTCAAGGAACTCACAAAGCTGGATTCGGCTAAGTGTGTCCCCTTACAGATCGCCAATTTTATTTGCCCATAGAAAGGGGGGACCCTAAGGATGTGCATTGACTATAGGGGCCTCAATGCCATCACTGTTAAGAATGTCGAGCTCCTACCATGCATTGACGACCTCTTGGATAGAGTGCAGGGATGTTGGTACTTTACCAAGATAGATCTAAAGTCTGCATACCATCAGATTGCTATTACACCCGAGGACCAACACAAAACCACCTTTCAAACCGAGTACGGGTTGTATGAACCAAATCCTTCATGAGTACTTAGACAAGAATATCGTCGTGTACCTCGACGTTATTCTTATCTTCAGTAAGAATGTAGAGGAGCACGCTGAGCACATGAAAACAATGCTAGGTCTCCTAAGACATCACCATTACAAGGACAACTTTGGTCGCACCAAGATCTTGTATCTGGGTCATGAGATTTCTATGGATAGTTAAGAGGTTGGATGATGCTAATTTGGCCAGCATACGTAACTGGCCTAGACCTTAGTCTCTGACTAAGGTGAGGTCATTCTTGGGGATGACAAGCTATTATCTACTCCCAATGGTGAAAGTATAAGCAAAACTAAACACAATTGGCCAATTAAAGAGCCTATCAAAGCGATTGAGCCAGCTGAATCACCTTTTATCAAAAAAGCCCTCGCACAAACTTGATCAGTGAGCTATTACGCACTCTTTTAAGGATGGCTGCTTCTAGGCAAACCTACTGATTGTCTTTGCACTCATTCTGGCTATAAGAAGACAACAACAAACTTAGTGTATAAATTTCGGTGGCCCACAATGATGGATGATGCAAAGAAGTATGTAGAAACTTATCAGGTTTGTCACCATGACAAACCCCGGATGCAGGCACCACTTGGGCTTATCAAGCACTTGCCCATCCCTGCTGGTCCAAGTCAAAGTGTGTCAATGATTCCATGGATACCTTGTGACCAGCAAGAGCGGTAAGCGTCACATCTTTGTCATTGTGGACAGATTCACGAAGTACGCTAGACTAATCGCTATGCCTGTGACAGCTAGGACTGACCACGTCATCAAGCTATTTATGGACAACTGGGTATGAGACTTTGGTCTCCCTGAGTCTATTGTAAGCGAGAGGGATGTCAGATTCACAAGCGAACTGTGGCAAAGTACAACCCAACAGATGGGTACCCGACTGCAAATGACGTCACGGAACCACCCTGAGTCAAATGGTCAGGCTGAACAGATGAACCGGGTAGTACAGCATTTACTTCGACATTACATTAAACCAAGTCAAGATGACTGGGACGAGAAATTACCCCTCGTCCCCAGCCTGTACAATAATGTCGTGCACACCACGACTCCCAACCAACTGCATCTTGGTTGGAAGCCTAGATCCGCACTTGACGTCTTGCTGCCTGAAAAACAGTCAACTACAGCAGCTGGCAGCATATAGTTTGCTGTTAAATACGAACAGATGCGGCAGCAGGCTGTAGAGCACATCAAGAAAGCTCAAGATGCCATGGTTGCATCTGAGAACAGACAAAGACGACCATCTGAGCTCCAAGTAGGCGAACGAGTTTGGGTAAAATCATCTGAGCGGGGGCAAGAGTTAGGGATTTCACATGAACTGATGCCTCAATACTTTGGGCCTGGGACACCTTTCGCTTTAACTGATCAGTTTCCCTCCAGGAGATCGATGCTGCCTCCAACCTGTGTAGCACACCGAACATGTTCGGAGCTTTCCTGAACGTCCGAAAGTGTTCGGGTGTTCGGCCGAACGCCACCCGAACGTGTTCGGCCGAACATATTCAAAMAAAAAAAAAAAAAAAAAAAAAGTTGGTTTTTGATTTTTAACTCAACTTTGGTTACGAATTTGACCATACCTCCAAGGCAAAAGTGGTTTGTATTATTATTTTACATAACATATATGTTTTTCAGATTCTTTGGAAAACTTTTTTTTTTTTTTTTTTTAATATTTTTATGTTCGCGTTCGGAGAGTTTCGGCCCTCGTTCGCGTTCGGTCCCGAACRTTCGGGTTCGGCCACCGAACCCGAACACGATGCTACACAGCCTCCAACCATGGACGGACACGTGGATATTGATGATATCGTTGAGCATAAGCATATGCCTATGCCCAAACGTCCAGGAAGAGGACGCCTTCCAAAGCCACAGATGCACTACCGGGTATGGTTCAAACATCACACTGATCCTCAAGAAGACCGATGGTTCACAAGAGAAAAATTAATGAAGACTGCTCCCCAAATTCTTCGGCAAAACCGCATAAGGCCTGCTGGCATCAGGCACGTGCCCGCCCTAAATAAAGGCAGGCCCCCGACATGCCCTGAACTTGTCAATTTTTGCAAATCTTGGTCGGCGCCAGACAGTTGTGAAGCGCCAATTGGTTACATCCTCTTTGCTCTTGAGAATCCACAATATTTGTGAGCCTTGGAGGCTTTTCCAGCAACATGTCCAAAGCGGGGAGCATCGCACGTTCGCGCCTAGGTGGTTGGGCATGCCTAACCAATTCGGTCCCAGGCGACTGTTTGAACGGGCCTGGGCGCAGACACTTCGGCCGAGACTGAAGCTACTGGAAACTCGGTCTCACGTGATCGAGGCAAGGCCAAAGCGCCCGCCACTTTCCACATAGGAAAGGGCCAGGTGGCAGGGAATGGATTCGGCACATGCAATCCCATGCAGAGCTGCTGCTGCGCTAGCGTGTGGGAAAGTGCTCGCGCACGTGCGATCGTGCGTTAGAAGCAAGGCGCTGCTGTGGGCAGCGCCATAGCCAGCCATAGCCGGGCTGGTCTTGGAAGAGGGTCAACAGAGGTGGTGGTGGTCTTCGTGTATGGGAAGGAGACGTGGGTAGAGAAGACGAGAGAGAGAGAGAGAGAGAGAGAGAGNGAGAGAGAGAGAGAGAGAGAGAGAGAGAGAGAGAGAGAGAGAGAGAGAGAGAGAGAGAGAGAGAGAGAGATGAGGATGTGAGGGCACGTACCTGGTCTTGGCGAAAGTCTGCAAGGGTCGACATCTTCATGTACTACAATTCTGCTGCTGACGTCAACAATTGTATTGTCAATTCGTAGGCTGGTAGTAGCTGCGTGATGGTAGTCTGGGCGCCGAGCGCCAAGTAGGAGAAGGGCTCTGGATACTTATGATGGTGATGGCGAGAGTGCTCACATTGACACTCGGATTCGCTGCTTCGTTCTCCACTGGTGTAATATCAGTGCAATTCTGCTTTCTGGACGGTGTCGGACTTCCTGGCTTTCAATGTGATTTTGGAATCTGGAATCTGTCATTTCGATATTGCTCATTTTCCTTGCAGATATGGCAAATAGTCCCACAGCAGATCGACACGATACTGAGGCTGGCCTCCCCTACTGCAATTTTGTTTTCTTTTTTTTTTCTTTCGATCATGAGCCACATATTCAGCAATAAGATTCTCCGCTGGCCAGGTCCCATAACACCAGCAAACCTGTTCTCAATGCCAGAACCTACCTACCAAGTTGGGGAGATGTGGCAAGGGACAGGCAGTGTGGGCATATGAATATGATAGCTGCAAAGGAAGCCGCAATTTTGGACATGTGTATTGTAATGTGTGTGGTGAGCAAATTGTAGGCTATAAGAAAAAGAAAAAAGATGAAATGTTTGCCATATTTCCCGAAGAAACAACTGGATTCTCCAGCAGGGTGGGAAGGCAAATGGACCATCCTTTGTTTTTTTTTCTAGCTTCGGATGGGGCAAATGGATTCACCTGCCCACCATTTTTTTTTTCCCTTTCATCCTTCACACCACCAATCACTGCAAAAATGAAGGAAATGCGAAAACAAAACACAACCACAGAAATTGAAGAATGCAAATACAGAATACATAAACTGCTGCATGGACAAAACCAGAGAGCAACCACTGGCATCATTGATGTTCTGCTAGGCAGGGTATGCCTACATTTCTTAGACTTCTTCCTACTGTGATAACCCGTCCAAACCTGGACTGAAACACACAGCTGATTTCTGAGTTTTGCTCATAGACTGAATGCCCCACTGAGTTCCCCGCCTGCTGAGTATGTGTGCGTGTATGCTTGCTGGACTGCATGTCTGTCTGAATGCTGGTTGGCTTGCGTGTGTGACTGTGCCTGAGTGCTGGTTGGTATGGGTGTGTGTGTGTAGCCCGCCAGGGCACTTGTTCGTTCGTTGGGCCCTCAGTGCCGGTACTTACCTGTGGCCGTGGCTTTGAAGGGTTGCAGCAGGGGAAAAAGCACTCAAGTAGTGGGTAGGCCGGTACCGCACCCGGTAGGGGGGTAAATATGCAGGTACCGGAGGCCGAGCAGAAGAAGACAAAAATGGCATTTTTAGAGGCCGGTAGTGTAGGCTAGGTCTAGCGGGTACCAGTCTGAGTCTAGGGCCTGTAGGGGCAATATCAGAGTCTGCAATGATGTTCCCTCCAAAAGAGGAGGAGGTACCGGTTGCTTGGGAAGGCCAGCGGGGGGAAGACCCGGCCTCTTTTTTGGTGTGCAAGTTTGGCGACACACTGGTGGAGCGCTGGAGGGAGCAGCGCTGGGCTGGAGCTGCGCTGCTGGGGAGGAAGAAGAAGGGGTAGAGGGAGGAAGGAGGAGGAAGGAAGGAGGAAGGGGGAGGAGCGCCAGGGGTATCTACCTGGCTATGGTGGCAGCCGACTTCATCACCTTGGTGGGCGCTGCAGCAAGGAGTCCCCAGCCGGGGAGAGCCACACCAAGAAGCTTCAAGGCAGGGTTGGGCATGGCGGCCAGAGCTTGAGCAGCCATAGCTGCTTTGGGTTTTCCTTCGGATATCTTTGGGTTGTCCTTTGGACATCTGAGCAAGGCCTAGTAGTCCGCCATAGCCTCGGCGTATGAGAGTGAAGAGTGGGAGAGGCGGCCATGGCTATGGTGGACCTTGAGTGACAGTAGAAGAGGGACTCGGACATGATTCTGGACCAGTCATTCAACATTGTATCATTATTTCTTGTATGAATAAGAGAAGGGGGAGATAAGGAGGAGGAGATTGTTGGGCGAAGAAGAAGAGCCTTGTCATTGTCTTTGCTGGTGTACATCTTTTTCTTCTTCTTTCTTACTTCTTCTTCTTCTTCTACTCCTCTCTCTCCTCTCAAGTTCATTCATTTCTTTCTGCAATTGGATGGCATTGTACTTTCCAGTGGATGTGTATCTCGAAATTGGCCAGGGTCATAACACTACTGTCATCACCCAAATAAAATGCACGGTCATTATCGCAGCATCTCGACTAAAAGTTGCCCCAAATACAGGTGTAATGACTGGGTGTTCTATTCGGGTGAAGATGGAAGTTCTTACTGAGCGATTTATGACATACTGAAACACTCTGAGATGATATGTGGAAAATCACAAGAACAGTAGCCACTGGGGAAGCAGAACAGAGACAGAAGCACAGCACACAAACACATAAAACAAAAGAGCACACACAAACATATATAATACAAAATGAACATGAGCAACCAGTTGCTGCAAACCAGGGGAACTCCCACTAGTAGCGCTGAATTTCCTCAATACCTGGATCTGGAACTCTACGCCATTTTCTGCACATCTCCACAAACACATCCGGATTCAGGCATGGAGGAAACTCAACGCTGCTCGTGGACTTGGCCCCAGGATATGGCTACACATCTGCTGGTCATCATCATGATCCAGATTTACGAAGCTGCTGTCTTCACAAAACTGCTCGTGAGGGGGGATATGCCAGGTGTCACTGAACCACCAGGTCCAGGCAACCGCTTGGCAGTAGGTGTCAATGAACCACCAGGTCCAGTCAACCACCTGGCACCAGGTGTCATTTAAATATCAGGTACATGCAACAACCTAGAGCCAACACCTGAGAAAGTTGTGAAAAGAGAACAGAAAAAAGTCGTGAAAACATAATACTCAAGTCAGAACAAGGACAGTATATATGACGACTACCATCTGCCCCCGAAGACAGCGGGGGATCATCTCGAATGCATTTGGGGCGGAACAGGGTTGTAACCGTTGTATACCTTTGTGAGGAAGGGGCATTATGTTTTTTTCCTTTTTTTCTTTTGGGCATTATGTTCAATTTCTTGCTTTTTCGTTTTGTCTTCGGCATTATGTTTGAGCGAAGAAGGTGGACAAGAAAAATCAATAAGCGTTTCCTATGAAAATACTGACTGGCAATCCTGATAATACATGTCAGGCCCTGTTTCTCCTTCCACGCCCAAGAAAAGAAGTGCCATTGGCGTTCAACGCAAGTCTCACACTCGTTGAATGTTCGGTCTACCTGGAGAGGTCAGGTTGTGTACACAGCCAGCAGATAGGAAGGAGCTTAAATCGATGAACTCAAATGAGCACATAGCTCTCCATTCCACAAATACAACAGGAGCGTGGTTTTTCGTTCCGCAGTCATGCTGGCTCATGCAAAGTCCTCCTCCCCACAGAGGACATGGCCATAAGCATGCCATCAGGGGGGTGGTTTCAGATGTTTTAACACAACCGATGGCCAAGGGAGGTTTGGCCATCACCGAGCTTATCCAGGCAAGACCCCTGACGATCGAATGGACCTGCAAGCTCCTGTTCTTTTGTTCTTTTTTCCTAAAAAAAGGGAGTTGTGAGGAACAAGCCCTCAAGGGGCCCTATCAGACATCACATTGTTCTGGGCTAAGGCCCCCCGCAAGCCAAGTGCCCGCCCTAAGCGAAGGCGGGCCTGAATATTCGTCAAAGGCAAAATTCGACATTTCCATATGTGGGTATTCAGGCTCTCGCAGCACGCCAGTTGGTTGGGAAGACGCGCGGGCCTCACATTGCTGCGTCATACAGTTGGCGCAGGCCTTGACAGTTGCGCCTGGGCAAACATACACAAAGCAGGGCCGATACATTGGGAAGCAGGCCTTCGGCCTTTGCAAAAGCAGTTGTGCCAACGCACCTGCCTGGGAGCCCTGCACAGATGCAGCAAACAGCCCAAGTCCGGAGACTCAGGCCGTGCCTACCTGCAAAGGGCCCAGGCCCTCAACTGTAGTCTCAGGCCTGGGCGCAGGGTCTGGGACCCAACCAGAAGCTACTGGAAGCTTCCAGCCAGGCCACACGCAGCATCCAGGAGGCTGCCACTTCCACAAAAGGAATGAGGCAGCCCAGGCCAGGCATTCTGGCCAGCGCTGGCAATGCGAAAGTGCTGCTGCGCTCTCGCTTGATGCTGTGCTGCTGCCAAGGGCGCTGACGGGGTGCGAGAGGTGTAGTGGGGCGCTGCAGGGCAGCGGGCCGCAGGCAGCCATAGCCGGGCTGCTGGACGCCAGGGGGTACAGCAGATGATCAGGTGGTCTTCAGGGAAGCCGCTCTGTGGGGTAATCAAGGTCTGATTGAGGGTGGCGGGATACGTACCTGGTACATGAAGAGAGGTCGGCGATGGTGTTGGCAGTCATGTACAATGGTCTTCGTGAGTCGAAGTGATCCTGTTGCGTGAACCAGCTGTAGGTAGGATAGTCTGGTAGAGTAGGCTGGGCGCTGAGCGCCAGACAGAGCAGAGCGACTTTGGATACTGTGTTGGTGTGCCCTACGGGCGTGAACATTGGCTCATTACTTCATCGTATTGCTCTATATGGATGGTTTTCTCGGTGCATTTGTACTCTCTGCTTGGGACACGACTACTTGGTCAGCTGTGTGATTTCGCAACTTGGTTTTATTTATATCGCTCACACTCATATTCCTTGCAATTTGGTATCAGAGCTGGTTTGTGATCGCCGCTTACCTGACACCGGCGACATTGTGACTTGGTGCGCTGACGATGCTTCGTGTGCAGTAAGGATACTTTGGCGCTGGTTGATTAGCGGGGCCTAGGTGGAGAGGCCGACCGCTGGAAGGCTGTGGCGACAGCGGGTGTATGCATGATGATGAGAGTATGCTGATGTGGCATTTTGGCTGAGGTGGCACTGCATTGCGTTGTGGGTGGTACCGAGGCTAATGACCGGTCATCGAAATGCACGTCGGCCCAATTGGTGAGAAATCTGGGGTTGGGGGCAGCTATCTCCAGGTACGTTGCTCCCATTCCTTATCTACCCTCTCAATCTCTTCTTACTGTGAGGAAGTGAGTCCAACTTGAGTGTCCTCTCTTTGGTGAGGAGTCGTGTGCGCTCTATCCTGAGAGATGACATTCTTCCCGGTGGTGCATCTGGCAGGAGAGGGCAGTGTCTCTAAAGGGCCGGTCGAAGCACGGGTCACGATCACCATGCCAACCCATGGGTATTAGTACACGCAGGCCATGCTGCTTTGTCCATTGAGGCTCTTTGCTGCGCTGATAGAAGGGGTGTGCGGACTGACCAGTCCTACGTAGACGCTCCCAGACCGTCTATAAACATTTCTGGTTGGGGTCTGAACCGTCCACTGGTTGTGATCGTCGCCCTGATTGCGACGTTAAAGAATTCCTGAGAACTCTCGGGGGCTGTCCTTAAATTGCCTCTTGATCAGCCAGATCAGTCAGACGCAAGGCTCGTTGCACGCGAGGGTAAATAAAGGGCAGGCTGGTCATAAGCATACTTCTTGGGCACAGGGGTGGGCCGTGGTTGCACACCTTAGACACCGCAGCTTGATGATGCTCATAGGTACGTTGGATACAAGGGAAGGGGATTCCAATTGTGAACTCAACTGTTCATCACTATAATATCCATTGTGCATGCATCTGCTCAGTGTAGTTTATTATCTTGATTAGTTGGTTGACAGACTGCTAACACCTAACAGATAGCCTAGAGTAGGACTATAATCTACCATAGCCAGTTCTCCTTAAAGCTTCTGTGCAGAACTAATCAAAGATAGAGGTAGACTACATGTATACAGTTTGTGTAGATGTTGTTGATGCCGCTTGACTAGTAGTCTAGGTAACTCACCGGACACCAATTATTTTATTTATTGCTAGAACCAATCAGACGCATGCTGCGGTAGGTCCCAAAGAGGACATTAGTGCAGACAGCGTCTGCCAAGCCCATGAGCGAATCAGACGGTGGGGAGGATAAATCTGATGATAAGAGGCAGACACGATGGGACACCCGTAGGATACCCGTTGTGTTCCAAGTTCTACTACCAGGAGACGAGAGAAGGCTTAGGGCCGAGACAAGGGCCCGCAATCTAGAGACTGCGAGAGAGGCAGCAGTAGTGGCTGAACGCGTGTTAGCAGCAGCAGCAGCTAGCGCAGCAGCAATGGCTACCTCTTCAACCACTTCTGCTGCAAACTCTACTGGTCATGCGACCAGTTCACAGTCCATCTCCAGTACGTCAGGAGTTGGCACTAGTCAGATGGCGGGTTCGCAGTTCAGCTCGCCACCTCCATGCACCCGGGAACAGATGGAGCTCCAACAGGCAGAGAGGATTCGCTTAAGGCTAGAGGAGGAACTCAGACAGGCTACTAAAAGAGAGAAAGAGAGTAGAGATAGGAGTGTCAGACTAGAGGGTAGGGAGGCAGACAAGGTTGCGCTAGAGAGGTTAGATGACTCGACCCTTAGCAATAATGAAAAGATTTTGAAGGCGAGCATCCTGTCCATGCACGCATACATGGACAGTAAACTGCATACAATCCAGGACACCTTGGACCAGATCCTGAATGCCATGCATAGACCAGGGATCAGGCCAGCAGTCTTGCCGCCGCTGCCATTCTCAGCGACGACAGACCCCTGTAACGCTCAGTCTGGACCACCACCAAGTGGTACATCAGCAACAGCCTTATCTCAGACTGTTGCTTCTTCATCTTCCAGTCCAGCGACTGGTGATACACCACAGTCGCCATCTGTCTCGCCAGCGGGACAACAAAGGTATCCCAAGACCCCCCTGAAACCACCTCCAACCTTCTCAGGAGACAAGAAGGACGAGGCTCGCCAACGGGACAACAAAGGTATCCCAAAACCCCCCTGAAACCACCTCCAACCTTCTCAGGAGACAAGAAGGACGAGGCTCTCGACACGTGGTTGAGAACGGTGCCAGTGTGGGTGAGGGCAAAGAGGACATTGGTAGAGGAGGAACTGATTACTGCTTCATCCTACTTAGAGGGTTCAGCAACTCGCCGGCTTAATGGATTGGTAGCTTCAAAGAGGTTCGGCAGGAACATGGGTGATTGGGCGCAGACCCACACCCTGGATAGTTTTATGGACTTAGTGGAGGCTCGATGGCACAACCCTCAGCAGGCACAAATTGCCACTGATGGGCTTCTAAAGCTTGATGCTAGAAAGTACAAGTCAGTGCAAGAACTTACCACAACCGTAGAGCGCTTGATCATGGTCTCAGCACTGGAGTACAATCCACAGGTCTTATTGACCATGTTCTTGAGATGTCTTCCCACAGACATCAAGAACTTACTGGCCAGCGAGACTCGCTTAGAGTATTAGAGTATCACACCTTTGAGACATTCAATAAAAAGGCCTTAGATTTAGAGGCTACGCTGGGTAGTGCTCAAACCCCTTCTACAGATTGGAGAAAGAAGACTCCATAAAAATGGAAGAAGAAGGGTAGTCGATTGATGATGGTTGATTCCGAAGGGAATCAAACTGAAATCGATGATGTTTCTGAACTTGTGGAGGGTGCAAAGTTAGACGACGAGGAGAGTGCTGAGGGTAGCAACCTCGCTGCAATAGTTCAGACTAAGGCAGCAGGCCGCGGCAAGGGCGGTCAACACAGGAGTCAGGGACAAGCCGCTAACCCAAACAAGATAGCTGCTTGGGTTAGAGTTGGCTTGGATCAGGAAGTGTGGCGAGATCGATGGTCGCGTGGTGCTTGCATAAACTGCGGCGAGTACGGCCATACACAGTTCAAATGTAAGAACCCGAAGGTCTCGCAGAAGATCCCTCCTAAGGGTGGGTTTCCTTTTTCTCAATCTGGGGTCTCTACGAGCTCCAGCTCGGGAAACACTTAGGGCTGGTAGAAGATGTAGCTGCTTCTACTCTCGTTGAAACGGGTGATGTACCCTTCCCAGTTCAAGAGTTGGCCAAAGCTATTGACTCCTTAGTCACCCCGCAGACACATCCGGACCCAACTATACTCTGTACGTTGGATGTGTCTGAAGCCTTAGAGGACCTTCAAGGTGAGTGATCGGCAAGGGACCCTCGAGGGTCCTGGGTGGCACTGAGTAGAGGTCCTAGAGGGGAGCACCTCGTTGTGGAAGTTGGTGTGGGTGGTCGCAAGTGCGGCACCTTCGTAGACATTGGTTCCACGTGAAACTTCATAAGTCGCGACTGTGTTGACAAACTGTGCCTAAAGGACCGAGTGCAGCGCCTTAGTAGACCGGTAGCATCTACTTTGGTCAACAAAGAGCGCATGATGGTGGAGGACTACGTTAAAGATGTAGTCTGCACCTTCTCCTACCCAGAAGGAGAAATAAACCATAAGATATCATTCCTGGTGAGCGACGAGTTGCTCGAGGTTGCCAAGCCCCAGTTCGACTAGGACAAGAAGGTGTTGAAGCACGAGTTGCCTACTGGGAGGACCGTTAGACTGGCCAAGTATAAAGCCAGTAGGTTAATAGACTCCTATGGGTGCTTACGCGCATCTGCCTTTTATAACTACTATAAACAAAACCAAGAGGAAGGTATGTACTTAGTCTATGTCTTTGCAAAAGGGGAGGCCGTTAAAACACCCCAGAGATAAAGACCATCGCCGCTAAGTACCCTGATCTGTTCGAGGAGCCCTCAGGAGTCGTAGACAGTAAGGTTGTCCATGCCATAGAGATCATCCCAGGTAGCAAGATACCTAAAGGCAGAATCTATAGGATGGCTCCGGCCGAGTTGGATGAGCTTCGTCGACAACTGAAAGAGCTCACAGAAAAGGGTTAGATTTGGCCTAGCACTTCCCCCTTTGGCTCACCAGTTTTGTTTGTTCCAAAGAAAGGGGGAACACTAAGGATGTGCATTCATTATAGAGGCCTCAATGCCATCACCGTTAAGAACGCAGAGCCTCTACCACACATCGACGACCTATTGGATAGGGTGTAGGGATGTAAGTACTATACAAAGATAGACTTAAGATCCGGCTACCATCAGATTGCCATAAGACCAGAGGACCAACACACGGTCTGTACGAGTTTGTGGTAATGCCCTTTGGCCTTTGCAATGCGCTGGGTACATTCCAGCACGCCATGAATAGGATGTTCCATACTTAGATAAGTTCGTTGTTGTGTACCTCAACAATATACTTATCTTTAGTAGAACTGTCGAGGAGCATGCTCAACATGTAGACAAAGTACTTTCACTCCTCCGGCAGCACAAGTATAAGATAAACGCAGAGAAATGCGAGTTCGGTCGCACTCGAATCTTGTACTTGGGTCATGAAGTATCCGCGAATGGGATTAGGCCCGAGGATGCAAAGGTGGCTAGCATTAGGGACTGGCCACGACCCCAGTCTGTGACTCATGTCAGATTATTCTTGGGAATGTGTGGTTATTACCGCAACTTCGTAAAGAACTATAGTACGATCGCATCTCCCTTGACTGATCTAACTCCACTTGACACACCATGGGACTGTACCGACGAGAGTGATACAACTTTCAAGCGTTTGAAGCATGCCCTCACGCACCATGAGGTTCCCATGGTACCCGACCCGCAAAGGCCATTTGTTGTAACCACTGACGCAAACCAATACGGCATTGGCGCAATGCTGGCTCAGTAGGAAGGGCAAAAGTTGAGACCGGTCGAGTACATGAGCAAAAAGATGCCATCAAAGAAGTTGGCAAAGTCCACCTACGAGAGGGAACTCTACGCTCTCTACAAGGCACTTGTCCACTGGAAGCACTATCTGTTAGGAAGGTTCTTCTATTTGAGAACTGACCATCAGACACTCAAGTGGATCAAGATACAACCGGTTCTCTTCGATGCACTCAAAAGCTGGATTCAAGTCATAAATCAGTATGACTTCAAACTAGACTATGTAAAGGGAGAGTACAACAAGGTTGCAGATGCGTTGTCTAGAAGGGCAGATTACCTGGGTGCGCTGATTTATGAGTTTGGCCCATCTGAGGACGTGACTCGATCTATGGAGGAAGCCTACAAGGAAGATCCCATCACGATGGACATCATCAACAAACTTCAGGCTAAAGACAAGGCCACCACTGACGAGTTTATGATGGTGGATGGGTTGCTCTTTCTTGAGAAGGCAGGGTTTACGAGATTAGTTGTTCCATCTAAGGAAGATTTGCGTAGTTTATTCTTAGGAGAATGCCACGAAGCAACGGGACATTTCGGCTATAAGAAGACTAGTGCTAACCTAGTACAACGATTTTGGTGGCCTAACATGCTTGACGATGCAAAGAAGTACGTACAGACCTGCCAGGTCTGTCAGCGGGACAAGCCGCGGACTCAAGCTCCGCTTGGGTTACTCAAGCCTTTACACATTCCTGCTGGTCCAGGGCAGAGTATCTCCATGGACTTCATGGACACTCTAGTGACCAACAAGAATGGCAAGAGGCACATCTTCGTCATAGTGGATAGGTTCACTAAGTATGCTAGACTAATCGTCATGCCACAGACTGCTAGGACTGAGCACGTCATCAAGTTGTTCATGGACAACTGGGTGCGTGACTTTGGACTTCCAAAAACGATCGTCAGTGACAAAGATGAACGTTTTACAAGCGAGATGTGGAACAAGGCCGCTGAACAGATGGGCAGCCAGCTTCAGATGACTTTGAGGAATCATCCCGAAGCAAATGGGCAGGCTGAATAGATGAACCGAGTGGTGCAGCATCTGCTGAGGCATTACATCACGCCCAACCAAGATGACTGGGATGAGAAATTACCTCTCATCGCAAGCCTGTACAACAAGATTGTACACAACACCACCAACGTCAGTCCTAATCAACTGCATCTGGGGTGGAAGCCTAAATCTGCTTTAGACTTCCCCCTGCCTGAAAACCGACCTGCTGCAACTCCTGGAACCATCAAGTGTCCAATATGAGAAATTGTTGCAGCAGACTGTCGAACATATCAAGAAATCTCAGGAAGCTATGATTGCTTCTGAGAACAAACGTTGCCGACAATCCACATTTCAGGTAGGGGAACGTGTCTGGGTCAAGGCCAGTGAGTTGGGACAGGAGTTTGGCATCTCTAGGAAACTAATGCCTCAGTATGTCGGTCCCTGGTACGTCATTCGTATCCCTGGTCACTTACGCACTTACCCTGTTTTTCACGCCCCCAAGCTTGCACCTTTCGCTAAAACAGCACAGTTCCCATCACAGAGATCTATCCTGCCCCCAACCATGGATGGTCACGTGGACGTCGACGATATCCTGGATCACAGAGACACGCCTGTTCCCAAGCCACCTGGCAGGGGAACACCTCTCAAACCTGTGAGGGAATACAGAGTACATTTCAGGCATCACACATTTCCGAAGGAAGATCGATCGATTTCAAGGGAGAAACTTGTCAAGACAGCTCCTCATATCGTGGCAGATTATGAGAAGAAACTGAATAGGAAGGCACCAGCATGAAGCATCTCAGCGGACTTTCGAAGATAAGGGGGATGGAATGTGAGGAACAAGCCCTCAAGGGGCCCTATCAGACATCACATTGTTCTGGGCTAAGGCCCCCAGCAAGCCAAGTGCCCGCCCTAAGTGAAGGCGGGCCTGAATACTCGTCAAAGGCAAAATTCGACATTTCCATATGTGGGTATTCAGGCTCTCACAGCACGCCAGTTGGTTGGGAAGACGTGTGAGCCTCACATTGTTGCGTCATACAGTTGGCCCAGGCCTTGACAGTTGCGCCTAGGCACACATACACAAAGCAGGGCAGATACATTGGGAAGCAGGCCTTCGGCCTTTGCAAAAGCAGTAGTGCCAATGCACCTGCTTGGGAGCCCTGCACAGATGCAACAAACAGCCCAAGTCCGGAGACTCAGGCCGTGCCTAACTGCAAAGAACCCAGGAACTGTAGTCTCCGACCTGGGCGCAGGGTCTGGGACCCAACCGGAAGCTACTGGAAGCTTCCAGCCAGGCCACACGCAGCATCCAGGAGGCTGCCACTTCCACAAAAGGAATGAGGCAGCCCAGACCAGGCATTCTGGCCAGCGCTGGCAATGCGAAAGTGCTGCTGCGCTCTCGCTTAATGTTGTGCTGCTGCCAAGGGCGCTGACGGGGCGCGAGAGGTGTAGTGGGGTGCTGCAGGGCAGCGGGGCGCAGGCAGCCATAGTCGGGCTGCTAGACGCCAGGGGGTACAGCGGATGATCAGGTGGTCTTCAGGGAAGGAGGCGCTATGTGAGGTAATCAAGGTCTGATTGAGGGTGGCGAGAGACGTACCTGGTACATGAAGAGAGGTCGGCGATGGTGTTGGCAGTCGCATACATTGGTCTTCGTGAGTTGAAGTGATCCTGTTGCATGAACCAGCTGTAGGTAGGATAGTCTGGTAGAGTAGGCTGGGCGCTGAGCGCCAGACAGAGCAGAGCGACTTTGGATACTGTGTTGGTGTGGCCTACGGGCTTGAACATTGGCTCATTACTTCATTGTATTGCTCTATATGGATGGTTTTCTCGGTGCATTTGTACTCTTTGCTTGGGACACGACTACTTGGTCAGCTGTGTGATTTTGCAACTTGGTTTTATGTATATCGCTCACACTCATATTCCTTGCAGAGTAGACACGCACACCCTAGCTATCACAGGGAGTGTCTAATGCCCCTCCTCCCTGGCCGAGGTCTAACCTATGACATTCCCTGAGCTACCAGGGTATACCCACCTAGCACAGCACTCTGATTATTCTGGTCATTGTCGTTATGTCTAACGAACGTTGGCAAGTCTCAGCCAGCATTGCCATCGAACTTCAGTTTTCAAACTAATTCCATTGAGTGCCATAGGCTCCTAATGTTTGTAAACCAACAAAAAATATATATATTTTTTAAAGCTATATTCTTCTCTCAAATTCACCTCACACTACCTACCTACCTACGACTATATAGAGGGGACCCCTGCAAACATAGGGCCTCGCAAACAAGGTAATTCATGTTGCCCCTCGGGGGGTGGGGCCGCCGGTGGAGGTCCGGCTAATGCAAAGACGGAGCATTTTGCCAGTAGCTGCGCCTCCCTTTCTCATCGTCCCCCACCCCTCATCGAGTAGCAACAGAGGTTATGGCCAACACTCTCCCACACACCACACACAACCCACTCGCACCCGCACTCACACCCGTGTTGGTCATAGACCTCGCTAATACCAATCAGGGGTATCTAGAGGACTATCACAGTCCATTGGCACTAAGTGCGCCGCAGGGCCGTTAGGGTAAGTACGGTTTGTTTAATATTGGCATACTCAGTTACTACAGGGGCATGGCTCAACCTGAGGGTCAAGGTTGAGGCCTGCTGGTCCCTCCTATTTGGAAAGAACTTGGTCACTTGATTGATATATAGCCTTGGGCACTGGGCGTCAAGTTATCCACCTACATATATGAGTCGGTGAAACTCCGACGAAACAGTTTGTCACAACCCCTCCTTTGTTGCCCTCTTTTCCCTCTCTGCCTACGGTGTACCGGGCAGCTCTGTTTGACGATATATATCGTCAAACAGAGAATATATATGTATGCATGTATTTATGGCGGGGGTCGGTCTGCCCCTGAACGTTCCGGGCTTTGGGCCCCGACCGACCAGCTGTTCGGGGCCCGCCAAACAACATTTCGAGCGTCACATATACAGCACTATATAGAGCACCTGCCTCTAAATTTTGGTTGTATTCTGTTAAACCACTAGTACCCCCGAGCCTGTTTTTGCCACCTTGAATTTCACTGCGCACCGAAATTTGCTGAGCCTTGGTGCCATTGCAAGGAAGATGAGCAATAGCGAACTTCAGCCATCAAACAGCATCATACACATTAGACCAGATAGTCGTGACCTCGAACCAAAAGCAGAATTGCATCACGAGTTTCACCAAATAAGAACACACCAAAAGCTCATAATTGATAATGCTGGAATAGTCTCATCATCATCATCAATGAAGAACCAATGTTGATATCCTATCTGGTGCTCGCCGCCCAGACTACAGATGGCAGATCCTATCTAGCCTACTCTACAATGCCGCTGATGACGTCAACAACTCCCCGAAGTACGAGCAGATCTCGGCCAATGCCGCACGCTTCAAGCACCAGGTATGTCTCTCATATCACTCACAACCTCGTTCCCCAGCTCACAGATGCCACTTGCACCCAAGGACCACCATGCGCCCCATCCAGCATACAGCAGCGCAGCTCGGCTATGGCTGCCTGCTCCTTCCAGCTCGCCCGTGAGCGAGTGAGCCTGGCAGGCGATAGCGCAGCAGCGCTTGCGCACAAAGCAGCCAGAGCCCGAATCTCCAATGCGTAGGCAGGCCCTTCCCTATATCGAAGTGGCCTGCGGCTGCGTGCTGTGCTGCGGTACTGGGTCCCCGTCCAGAAGCTTCCGGTAGGCCCAGGGAGGCTGAGCCTCAGTCCGAAGTCCACAGGCCCAGGGCCTGTGGTGGTTACCAGCACCCAACTGCCCTCAGCCTTTGTTCGGTCCACTTGTGTATCCGGCCCAGGGCCTGTGGTGGTTACCAGCACCCAACTGCCCTCAGCCTTTGTTCGGTCCACTTTGTGTATCCGGCCCAGGGCCTGCCTCAGTTACATGCAATGCAAGGCAGCCTGGGCCTGGGAGCTTCCAACCGACTGGCACTGCGCGCGCAACTGCCTGAATTTCCCCAGTTGCGTAGTAGTCCAAAATAGGCCTCTTGAGGTCTGTCGAGCCTGCCTCACTCAGGGCGGCAGACGCTTGTTGCAAATAGGGGCCCAGTAGGGCTTATCGAGGCCTTGTGCCTCGCACCATTGTGTTTTCTTAGGAAAAAAAAGAACAAAGAAAGAACAAAAAAAAAGAAAGGGGCAAGTACGTTTGTGTCACAAACGAAGTTCAAAAGGGCAAAAAAAACAATAATGCGCAACAAAAAAATGGCCGTAGTTCGAAAAGGCAGTCGTAACATCAGAAGGCGGTAACATCAGGCCCCGAGTTTGAAAAGGGCGGTTGTAGCACACTTTCCTTTTTTTTTTTTTTTTTTTTTTTT